ATATTAATAATATGCTGATGATGACGGTGATGATGACGATGACGACGGCGGCGGCGATGACCATGGGAGTTGCATTTAGTAAATTATGTAAGCTAGACAGCTCAGTAGACGCAGACGCCGCCGTCTGTACGGCGGCGGCGGCGGGCTGTTGACCTTGGGATACTTTACTAGTCTGCCGGGCAAAATTAATATGTGCATGATAAATTCTAAAAAAGAAAAGAAAAGAAAAAAAAAAAAACTACGAAAAAAAAAAAACCGAACCCGAACGCGGACAGGTGAGGCACCGGTAACGGGTGGCGCGCGAAAAACTCGCGTCTGGCGACGACGACTGCGACGGTTATTTATTATTATTATTATTATTATTATGTTTTGTTTTTTTTTTGCCGCCGCCGCCGCCGACGAGCGACGGACTCGTACAAGTCCTACAGCTTACGATAAAACGCCCGTTCGCGTTCGTACGTATAATGTGCTCGAAAATACACGCGGGTCTAGACAATTTATGAACTAGTTTTGGTTTTTTTACGCCCGTAACCCCGGCAATCGACAGACGCAACACACGTAACATGCGCACACGTATACACGCGTACGCGGTTGAATATCGTGCGGCGATATTGGCGATCGAGTTGCGTAACGACGCGCGCGTATTCGTGCGAAATATTTCGTTCGGGATTCGCGGCGGAAACGACGGAAACCGGACCCGCGCCGGGCAGGGCTGAACGGGACAATGGGTCCGGGGGACCGCAGGGGGTTGTGGTGAGAGTGGGGGCGGCGGGAGGGTTCGCTAAAGTCACGGGCGCGTCGCCAGCGCCGCATTCGCAACCATCGCACAGTCTTGCCGCCCGCGACCACTTTTCGCCGCGGGGGATCGGCGGATTTACGGCGTTTCGGGGTGGTGGGGGGAGGGCAGAGTTCGGGGGGTCCGGGCCCCGCCGCCTCTCTCCGCCACCCCACTCCCCCCCTCCCATCACCAGACACCGATACGGTCGGTCAACGGAATGCCGTCCAAATAGACACGCGTCCGTCAATAACGGATACGTTTTGAACGCGATTTTCCGGGGACCCCTGCCGGACAAAACGTCGAAAATCCGTTTCTGCGCGTCACAGAGCCCCGTAGAGGCGAATACCCCCTGCCCCCGCACAACGCCCTGTGCGCGATTCTCGTAATGAGCGACTGTGCCGCCTTTTTTTTAGTTTTTTTTTTACCGTCGTGTAACACCGTCGCACAACTATCGTTTAGCCCGGATTTCCTTTTACTACACGCGCGCGCGCGCGCGCGTCGTCCGTATCAGTGATGTTTGGTCGGTTCCGCTCGTTAACCGTGAAATAGACCGCGGGACAAAACGTCTAGTCTGTAGACTGTAGACTAGACGTTCGGGAATAGTCTGAAAAACGACTGTTTTCGGGTATTTTCGGAATGGAAGGGGGGGGTTGGCGGAGAGGGTGCTAAATACGCCCGGCCGGCGCCCGCGCCCCGCGGTATGATTACGCGCAGTGCCGATCGTCGCGACACGCGACACGCTCGAGCGATAGCCCAAACAAACCCACCGACCCGCGAACACCTATCCGTTTTCCCGCCGGCCGTAATCCACAACCGCGCGTCCCGCCGCCGCGTGTTCCCGCGCCGCGGACGGGATCTGATCGAATTCCGGCGGGCCGCGGAAATACGATAACACGACGTACAATTGACAGTTGATGGGCGCGGGGCGTTTCCGTTCCGGCGTTCCCGCGCACGTAATTGCCGTCGTAATACTCGCGGTAAAAGCGCACGGGGCACGTAACGGCAAGGGGCGCGCGATTCGCCAGGAGCAGCGGCGTCTCTAAAAATATGACGGTGCGCTGTAAAACCCGTGGACGGATCACGTCTAACGCCGAAGTTCCGGTCTTCCGCACGGATTGTTCACGGGGTGGCGGGGGTGGGGGGGGGGG